AGTGTAAAGTATAAGGATTTGATTATCATTGGGATACATACCCAAATCGTTCAACCACACCGCAACCTTGAAGTACGCCTCGTCCATTAGTGCAATCACCACCGCGAGCAAAACCTTTGGCACGTAACTGAGCCAGAATCCGTAGCCTCCAGATTCAAGATGCGCGTCCCACCAATCCTAAAATAATTTTCCGCAAAATTAAATTAATTTTATGTCAAAAAAGAATCTATATAAATCTCATATCACGTTTTCTTTCATTTCTTTCTAAAAACGAGTGCAACGATTCGCACTTATGTTACACTAAATATTATTATATATATTTTTTGGACTTAAGTTTAATTTAAATAATTAAATCATTATTACATTATTACATCTATATCTAAATCATTATTACATCTATATCTTATTTTCAAGTGATCAGAAATTTTTGTTATACTTGGGAGTAGTCTTTAAACAATATTAATAATCACTTCTCTTGCTAATCAATCCACATTTTTTTTAAATGAGCAGAACTGTACAATGTACTATACAATGTACCTGTATCTGAAAACTCAGGATCATAACGATGAAAACGAAGAGTAAACAGATCGCGATAATAGGCACGCTCACGAAGTATCGAAACATATTTCTTCGCCACCTGGGATACGTCGGTTCCAGCCTACCCGTCACCGGGGAGATCTCCAGAGTTCCCTGAACAACAAACAACGACAATTGCTCGAGCTTCATGTGGATTTCACAATTAGATGTTCGTTCGACAAAAAAATCCAGAGTTGTAGCACTTTCTATATTTTTCAATTGTACGACGTAGCGAATGCGTATTCTATTCTCATAGTGCTGTGCAGGTGTAGACGTTGGAGTAGCACACTACGGCGTTACTATGCCGACATCGGAGGTGCTAAGACGTAAAAATGTTCGAAAGGTTCTTACTGTAAACAGAGGTCTAGGCTCGACCAATAAATCGTCCCTCTGATCCAAAGTGCCCCACCTGTACGCCAATTCCGCGCCCCTCCTTTTCCATGTCTCCAGGTATACGGTAGCCCATATCACGTTGAACACCGAAAACAGAACGTACGCCACATCCTCCACCGCTTGGTTCTTGCCGATGATGCCGACCTGAATAATCGGAACAATTCTCCAGTTACTGGCACTTTTCACTCGTTTTCAAATCTTCGCTATACGAGAATCGACTTATTTTACATACGTTTATTAAGTAAATATCGTGTTTCGTGCATTTGCTTATGTTTTTGCTTATGTTGTTTGAATTATGCCGGCGCATACGTACCCAGTATATGACACCCACTGCAGCTGGAACAATCAAAGCGGTGGTGTAGTGGCCGAGCCAGGCGAAGTACATGGTAATTTTCACCCCGAAGTATTTACAAATGTCGTCCAAGGGTTGGGGGCTGAGGAACGCGCGGACCCAGCTCCGTTGCAGTTTCTCTAACGCGGGTAATTCATGAAGAGGGAAGACCTAACAAAAGAGAATCTCGTCGAGAATCACAGCTCTTCACTTCAACGGGGGGAGGGGGGGGGGAGGAAGGAAGTTCTCTGAATCTCGTCGAAGAAGGGTGCGAAACGAGAAACGATAAAATCCGTATACCCATGTACCGCACCTGAGAAATAATACCAGACGAAATGCACTTTGGGATAATCGCTTGACCTTCCACCATTTTAAGACCGGGCAGACTATGGAGATCCTGAGGGCCGGCCCTCAGGGTGTGAAGTAGATGCAGCACCAGGGACTGCCTCTCCTGGGTGGTGAAGAATCGGATCTCGTCGTCGCTGCCCTCGAAGCAGTTGGCCTCGGAGCCGACGAATTCCTTGAATCCACCGCCGAATTCCTGTCGGAGGGACTTCGGTAGATGCACCTCCTCGGCGGCTTTGAGCAGACTGCGAGCCGAGGTGAGGTTACGTCTACATACGATTGTTCTCGCACGTGTGCGGCGCCTCTTAAGCGCGCGTTAAAATACAAGTCTACCAAGAGAAATTAAACACTTACACGCTAAACGGCGCCGTAATGTAAAACCCGTAACTGTCCGACGAGGCGTGATGTCGCACGTGAACTATTAGCCCCGGGGTTCCAGCCCGGAGCCGACCTAGAAGCCACATCAAGGTCTCGTCGTTCGCTCCGCTGGGGAACATCATGACTACGTCGCATTCCTAAAAGGCATCGAGGTGAACTCCTTGCGTGACAGATAACACGACTGAATTTACAATTATCTCTTTATCTCAATATTCTTCCGTATATCAAGGGTGGATGTAATAGAATTAAAAGTGATTTAAATGTTGACATTCTATATATAAATAATTTTAAAGGGGTTTGGAAAACAATTTCTGTTTCTTGTCATTCACTGACCTGCGAGAAAATGCGAAGAAAAAAAAAAAAGGTTTTGGAGGAGTAAATTAAATTTATTGGACTACCACGCAAATCCATTAAGTCAGGGTACGCTCTTCGAGCGATAGTTCAACGGTCTTACATGTCGTTCGTAAAATATTAATGGTTTCCAACGCGACCGAAAAAAAATCACTCGTAGGTTTAGTGGCGTAGCCAAGTAGTTACGTGCATTACTAGGTCAGCCGTGTTATCGAGGTATCGTTGTACGTGAATTGGCAATACCAAGCACTATACCAGTTGGATTTCAGCCAGCTTATTTTGATTCGCGAGTACTAAAAGATTAGGATAGTGTAAAATAATGCAAGTAAAAAAATCGATTTTATCTTTATGAAGAGAAATTGTTGCGTTATATACGTGATCAATTAATCGCTTTGTGCGAGAAATTGCTTATGTCATTATCCTGATACTTTAATAGTATTGTACCATCAATAATTCCCTTTCTCTCTTTTCCTTTCTTCCTCTGTAATAATTTATAAGATTAATTAGCGCTGTGTGTAATGACGTGATAATTCCTTTTCCAGTAATCGAAAAAAAAATCGAAAAAAAATTCGCAATATATATGGTATCGTGAAAAATGCATCATAAAAATGTTCTTTAGATATACATATCACAATTTCCATTTATATGCGGAAATGCGTATTATTGCAAATGGTGCAAGTATATATAAATGGAAACAAATATTGTTATGGAAACAATTAGCTTGCAAGTCACACATAATATACAAATTCTATTATATTCTATAGATGCATTGTATATTATAGTATCTATTGCATTTGCATAGTTTAATTTGCACGTTTAGATATAAATGAAATGAACGGATGACTGCATATAAATAACATTTTTATAGAAGAATATAATCAGTTCATAACAAAAAATGAATTTTCAAAAATCAGTATAGACGATATTGTCAATTTCCGAAAAATTATATTTTTTATAAAAAATATATTTTTATAAAAAATATAATATAAATTTACATAAAAGTGAAAAATATTGTGAAAGAACCAGAAGAGTAGTATGTAGTGTCATAAAATATAACTTTTTTATTTTTGAACTTAATAGATAGATTAGTAAGATTTAAATGTTTGTTTTTTCGAAAAAATTATATTATATTTGTTCTATAATATAATGTATATAATATATTGACGGAATTTTATGAAATTGATGACGTTATATGAAACTATGACACTTAATAATAGAAACCAAACACTTGATTATATCTTACAATAAGTGAGCACTGATGATATACGATAATATACATCATAATCGCCAGTGTTTCGCTACGCTACAATCATTACGCGATAACCTACTTGAAAAGACAGTAACAAAGGATCGTGTAGACAGTGTCGGTAGACGATAGAGTCTTATAAAAATATTTCATAACATTAAAAATCTTTATAATTTCCAAATTTATTTAAAATAAACATATGATTAATTATAATACACAAATAAAATTGTTACTAAAATTTGATTTCAATTGTAATAACTTTTATTCTTTTCCAAAGATTATTTTAACTATGAAAATAGTATTTAAAATTATCACACAAATAATTTAATGAAAATTCTTATTTTTTATAGAATTTAATTTTTATAATTATCTTGAATAGAGAGAGAGAGAGAGAGAGAGAGAGAGAGAGA